TAACGCAGTACGAACAAGTTGTATTACACAGGCTCATGAGCAAAGAAAAATATGAATTTGCCTAAGATAAGTGTTGGGATAATTGTCTGAATGTGACCCTCTAATCGGATTTGTACGCTAAAAAGATCCATGAATGACCCAAAATTACATAATGATCCATGAAGTCACGAGCTTATCTATGCAAGGTAACCTGATCTAAAATGGTTGATGACCCTTTTGACGAGTGTTTGTGGAAAAATTCGACGTAAAAGAAATGAAAGAAAAATGGATTTGTATTCTCTCAAAATCGATTACAATTTGGATTCCGATTACAAAAGAGAGGAGAATGAATTTGATTCTCCCCTTTGTTTAAGTCTGGGTTCTTCTTGGTAGCGATGGAGTGCCTCCTTCGATTGCTTGCGTCGAATTCGCTCTCCGTTGACGATCTGACCGTCCTTTTTATCTCGTGAGAACGATGAACTTCTGTGAAAAATTTGATGAATAACTCTTAACGAGTTTAAGAACTCAGGATGAGTTAGAACTCTGTGGATAGAGTTGTTAGAGCCGAAAATTCGGTTAATGACCAAGCAGATCTTCTGTTGTTGAGGAATCCTCTTAGATTTGATCTTCTGAATTTGATTCAAATCTTCTATCTCCAAGGAATTCGCCTCTATTGCCTCTCTACTCTTGATTTTCCGTTCCAAAAAGCCATCCCTCAACTCAGTTGAGTTTGTTGAGATTTTATAGGTGGATAAGAGGTTGTAACTGCCCTCTAAATCCGCTCCTAAGTGGGCGTGATTTCCTCAGATCGTGGGGAAAACGGTTCTGAAACTGTTCGACTCATATTTGAATGAGTCAAACGCCCAATTTGGCGTTCAGAACCCTAACCTCGCGTCTTGGAATTGAGACGCGAGGTTGGGTGTTGACTGAACATAAAAAATGCGAGGGCCGCTCGCGTTCGGCTTGTTGTAGCTTGGAAACGCGGGGGTCACCTGCATTTCCAGAATTATAACGTGGGGATGAATTCCGTGTTTTAGAAGGGGGTTAGATGATTTGTAACCTCTCCTTCAGAGCGTTGCAAGGACCGTTATTCAGTAATCCTAGCTTTAGCTGTTGTGGGGTGTGAAAGTCGTCAGACAGTAATCCTAGCTTTAGCTGTTGTGGGGTGTGAAAGTCGTCAGATTGTAACTTTCACTGTAGATTGTGAAGACTGCTGACGTCAGATTGTAACTTTCACTGTAGATTGTGAAGACTGCTGAATAGAGTTTTCATCAGTTGTCGGAAGTGCCGTTGATTTGTAACTCTTCTCGCTCTATGTGAAAAGTCCTCCATTTGCAACTTTCATTTGTTGGCGTGAAAACTATCTGATCGTAGCTTTTCATTGTTGGAGCTTGATGGGGATCAGCTATCCATTGTGACTTTTAGATAGTCTACACGAATATTTGCCCACAGCTCTTTACCAAGCAACTCACCAACTAAGTCCAACCTTTTATTTCTGAAATCATTACACTGCTCATCAGCACCTCTAATAGTTGCTAATATAATATTAGTCTTGTTGTTGTCACAGCCATCAAGATCAATCATCACAGATATGAGGCTGTGTTTGCAGCGATTGTAGAGCCGCGGATGCAGTGATTTGTGTAAGGACAAATTCTTCTTCTTGATTTGAAGGAATCATTGCCTTATAATCTCTTCTTGATCCATAGGAAAATCTTTTGGTTGCAGCTTTTCCCTCGGTATCAAGAAAGTCGTCTGATTGTAACTTCCATTGTTGGGGCTTGATGGGGATCAGCTATCCATTGTGATTTTTAGACAGCCTACAGAACCCCCTTCAAAGTTTTCGAAAGTTCGTGGTTGTCTGGGACGAATTTTCGGAATACTTTGGATCCTAAATTTTTAGTGTATAGTTTGTTCCCTCCGTTTGATTTGAAGACGTCGCAAACCAAATCCCAAGTCATCGTCAGACTCATCGACAGGCTCGTCCTTCTTCTCTACTTCCTTAGAGGCAGGAGCAGGAGCATTCTTAGCAGATGCAATAGGAACGACGGCAACAACAAGGATGTTCTTGTAGGTATTGACGAACATGTGATGTGCAGCTGTAAGAGTTGGGTAAGAGAGAGTCAAGGATAGCGAAGCGACCATAGAGACACCAGCTGCAAACTTGTCAACGAGGCCATCCTTCGTGAGGTTGGGCACCTCTGGGCTTAAAACAGATCCATTGTCATAGACAGAGAGAATCGTAAACCCATATGAGAATAGCTTCGTCCTAAGTTTAGTCAGAAGGGCAGCCTCAGAGGGACCCATTTTATCTCCTTTCTTGATCAGTTCAATCGGGGTAATGAGTTATGCGCCGCTTCTGTCTTCATTGATCTTCGTTGGGATGTTAAGCCACTTAGAAGAATGAGTTGCGCGTCAGATCGTGTCTTCATTAATCTTGGTAGGAATGTTAAGCCACTTAGAAGAATGAATTGTATGTCGGATCGAGCCAGATGATTTCAATGTTGTTAATTGTAATCTATCTGTATTCCTCCAATAGACTCCCCAGCGGAGTCGTATGTTTCTTCTCGGCTTTGGTCACCTTGATGATCGCTGTTAGCTCTTCTCTTATTTATCTGAGGCTGTGTCGTGGCCTTGGTAGTCGAGAAGCTGCTATTATTGTGGTCCAAATGCGCAGATAACTTCTGCATTTAAGGATTAGAACGCGTGGGTGAGATCTGCGTTTGAGAATTTGAACGCGTGGTTGAGATCTGCGTTTGGAAGCTCAACCAACTCGATCGCTGAGATCGAGTTCGGGCGGGATTCTGGCGTAGAATCTCGTTCCGATTTGACAGCTCATAGCTGTCTATAAATAGACCGCTAGGGGTCAAATCAAGAGTCATTCGACTCTTCTTGAAATTATAACGAAAATTTCGTTCTTATCTCCGACGAGAATTGTTCATCTTCTCTCTCGACTGAGATCCATGGCACCCAAGAAGAAGACTGTGCATCGTCCCTCCAAGTCCGACGTCGCCGCGGTTCAGGGGTCGGCGCCATCTGCGTCGGTCGACGGCACTACGGCTCAGGCGGGCATGCCGCCCTAACTTTCTTTGATCGGCGGTGAGTACGACCTCCGTGGTCATTAAACTCGCTGCGGCAAGTTTTGATCTTTGGATCAACAAGGAAACTCCTTTCAATAACATGGGGCTGGACTCCGTCGTTTAGTATTTTCGACGAGGGGTTCGACCTCCGCATCTTAGATTTTTGACGCGAGGTTCGACCTACGCGTCTGAAAATTTTCAACGCGAGGCTCGAACTCCGCGTCTGAGATTTTTGACGCGAGGTTCGACCTACGCGTCTGAGATTTTCAACGCGAGGCTCGAACTCCGCGTCTGAGATTTTTGACGTGAGGTTTGACCTCCTCGTCTAAGATTTGTCTTTGCGTTGTCTAACCTTTTTCTTTGTTTTGCAGTGCGTCATACTAGCGAGCCTCTCCCTTTTCGCCATCATTTTAGGCATGAAGGTGGTGTGGATCTGAATATGACATTCAACCTGCGCCAAGAACTCCCAGTTTTCCGAATTACGGAGAAGAGCCGTGTGGAACTAATTACCTAGGCTTCTCCTGAAACTCTTAGGATATTGGTTACGGATGCTCGACTTGAGAACCTGAGCCGTAAACCGATAGTCAAACCTGGATTCCTCTTCGGGGATTTTGTTGACTTCGAGGCATGCGTTGCTTATGATGGGACTACAAGTGGCTGCGGAAAGTTGGAGACCGCAACCTTTTCTTGCCTAATATGGAGAGAATGTTCCCCATATCCTACTTTCAGTGCGCTTCCATCCCCAAGCACATGGATTGGAACCTTGTTAAGGATCAGGATGGAGTTGTTCTCGAAACCCTAACTTTTCAAGGGGTCCGCACAGTTGGTTACAACAGACAGGTGATGGCCTTACAGCCAGGCCTGTTCGCTAAGGAGTACCCTATCGGCGAAGTGGTCAGTCCGGCGAATACCTTTGTCAAGAAGTTTATGCCAAAGAAAGGAGAATTTTCCGCGCAAGGATTTAGAACTCCTGACTGGGTTCATTCTCCGGTGACAGGGTGGTGGACCCGGATGACCAAGTTTGTTTTGGAGGAATTGGAAGTACCTCTTACTCGAGTTGGCTTGAAGATTCCAGTACGGGCTACTAAATTCGGGATCGTCTAGAGCCATTTTCATTTCTTCTCCATATTAGAGAAGTATAATCCCGAGACCTGTACTTTCTTCACTCCGGTGGGGGAGTTAGGATTCGCTCTTCATGAGATGCATGAAGTCTCAGGTCTTCTTCTTGGGGATTTACCATACGAAGAATTTGTTCCGGGATCAGCGGAACTTAAAATTTTAAAGAAGACCAACCCTGAAATTTGTTCTACCCTTTGGGAAGTCATGTGTCACTTCCATATTTGCATGCAGCAGACAGGAGCTCGAGGAAATGGCATCAAACAGGTGTCTTGGGCGGAATATTTATTCCAGAACCTGACCAATAAAGGAGCTTCGGTGACCAGATTGTCTGCAAGCACTCTGGAGGAGGTTCAAGCCCGAATTGATGATGCTACCTCCCATTACACTAACGAGGCCAAGGAAGATGTTTTCCCAGCTTATACAGAGTTTGAAAGCTTCCACTATCAAGCTCTGATTCTAATTTCTGACACGGCGCTGTTGGCTGGATTCTTGATGCTGTGGCTCAAGCGTTGCGTCGTTCCTACCAGGCCAATTGATGCTCTTGCTGTTGAGGTGATCTACCCAGTTGTTCTTTTGGCACACGGGAGGTCGTTGAATCTGCTTTACGCCATGGTAGGTTGCTTGCAGAATGGGCTGCGTGAATTGGCCGTGGATTTTACTGATGTTATAGTGGTGGAGTCTGGGGGTAACAAGGTTTTTAAAACTCTCAATCCCAGGGTGCCATTGCCTTATACTTATCTGATGGCTTGGTATGTGCTCCACTGTCCTCCCTTAATGAGTGCAGCCTCTCCTCCAGAAGATTCATTCACCCCATTCATGCAACGACTGGAATCTGCAAAATGGGAGGGAGGTTATATGGTTAGAATTCGCCAGATCTTGTCGTGAGACACCCACTATCATATCTTCCGTTGTTTCCTTGATTTCAAAGGCGGCATCTATGGAGCAGAGTATCAGGACGTAGCGGGTCCTAACGGATTCACCCAGCTGAGCGGGTGTGTTTTCCATTGGCTTCTCTCTATCAGGCCAGACTACCTGATCTTCAGGCAAGGTGATAAGTATTTCCTCGAACCTTACCAACCCTATAGGTTTTCCCACCAATTTGGGTATTATTAGTTGTATGTTGGGAACCCTCGACCTCAGCTCTTAGTTGTGAGCAACTTATATGAAGGGGCCAGGGCTTGATACTATTCTGTGGCAGATTGTACCAGAGCAATCTTCAGGCTTCCCAACAAAACACCCAATTCCTACACTTCCATGAGCTTCTGCAATTGGTATTTTGCCGCTTCCCAGGCTCCTAATTATAACTTGAATACATCTTGCCTGAAAGACATCAGGCATATGTACGCTTTAAGGAGGGGGTCTAAAACGTCTCGCCTGAGGGGGATCAATGAATTTCTATCCATTGAGGACCCTTCTGCCAGACCAGGAGAGGAACAAGCAGCCGAACCTGCTCCAGTAGAGGAACCCCGGGTGGTAGATTCTCCCCCAACAAGGCCAGCTGGGAAGAGAAAACTTTCGGCGGATGAAACTGGTCAATATGATAAGCAGACTCGCCAGAAACTGATAGTTGGGTCTCCTCCTCCTAAAGGCCAGCAGAAAGCAAAGTTGATGGCTGACGCTATCAGAGCTGCTGAAGATGAAGAACAACATGAATCTTCAGTCGTAGGTCTGCCACATAGAACTGTGCTCCGTTCTCATGGCCCAGCCTTATCAAGTGAAGCTTCTTCTCACCATCCCTCCGATGATGAAGAAAATGAATTGATGGCCATAGATGCAGAATCTGCTCCGGCAGCAGACCCTCCTAGGGCTCCAGTGTTAGAATCCCAGGGCCATAAAGAGAATCCATCCCCTCCTCCTTCAGTACTAATGTCACAAGCTAGCGGTTTAAGTGCTAGTCCGACAATGGGACTTATGACTAAACCAGCTGTTAGCACAAATCTTCCTGAATCTTCAGCTATACGGGATGATGAAGAGCGAGTAGATTATGAAGGCTCCTCGATTGGTGGTGCAGCTGACGAAGATAGAGATGATGAGGATGCTGACGTTGGCAACATGCCAAGTGACGGTGAAGGTGATGATGGACATGACTCCATGGATGACATCACTACTTTCGATGATGCTCCCAAGGCCCCATCTGATAAAGCAACTGGTTATACTCCTTTTTATCTCACCGGTAAGCCGGGTATGTTTCAAATTCTTCCACATGCTTTTTCCGCGTTCCGACCTTTTTTTCGTGCAGGTTCACCTCCCCCCGAGACTACTACTGCTACTCCTTCGGAGCAAAATCCTGCGCAAGTGTCGGCTCCTCTACAAGAGCAACATTTACCTGGCTCACCTACGACAACTGTTTCACCTACAGCGTTGGCTGAAACTACTGCCGTAACTCCTCCTCCGGAACAGCAGCTCGTGCCGGTGTCAGCTCCTTCGTAGGAGCAAATTTTGCGTGACTCCTCTGCGGTGGATGCTTCACCGAAAGCATTAATGAAGATCTCATTCACTCCCACAGAGGCTGGGCCAAGCTCATCTCAGGCGAAGGCATTGATGGCTTTGACCTCAAGTCCTTCGCAACTGAACATTTCAATTGCTTCTGCAGCTTTGGCACCTGGATCGCCTGCTAGTCATCATCTTGATGCACCAATCTCAGTGGCTAGAGGGGTGTCTCCGGCTGCGGTTTCTAGTCTCGCTGATGCACCTGAATTCCTTCAAATCTCTCTAGTATATCTAAACAGCCTTACGAAGACGGTAGTTGAGTACATGGTGAACGGTCGGGGAACTTTGAACTCCTTCCGACCTCTTCTGGAGGCAGGCTTAAACGGAGTCAGGAGCATGAGCAACACTCAGTGGTTCGAGTGCTGTTCAGAGGTTATTCTCCGTTTGGAAGAGCAATTACAACGTTTCGAGGCATTGGGCCGTAAAGAACTTTAGCCGCAAATTATGTCAACTATGGCTAGTCTTTAGGTCGCAGAAGTGGCTCGCCGAGAAGCAATAGAGCGGGACTTAGCTGAAAGAGAGCGTCAGATCACGGAGCTTCGCGAGCATAATATACGGAAGCGAGAGGAGTTAGAACGATCAACTGCTTCTATGAATTCGCTTCGTGACAGACTTGTT